TGGAAATATAAATTGATGCAACCACTATGGAGAACAGTATGAAGGAAAGTAGGAATAAAATTACCATATGGCACAGCAGTCCCACTACTGGGCATATACCCTGAGAAAGACCATAACTCAAAAGACCACATGTACCCCAGTGTTCATTGCAGCACTATTTATAGTAGTCAGGACATGGAAGCAACCTAGATGTACATCAACAGATGAATGGATAAAGAAGTTTTGGTTCATATATACAATGGAATATTACTCAGCCTTAAAAAGGAATGAAATTGGGTCATTTGTACCGATGTGGATGGCCATAGACTGAGTCATACAGAATGAAGTAAGTCAGAGAAAAATAAATATCGCATATTAACACATATATATGAAATCTGGAGAAATGGTACAGATGAACCTATTTGCAGGGCAGGAATAGAGACATAGATGTATAGAACAGACTTATGGACACAGTAGGGGAAGTGGAGGTGGGAGATGAATTGAGAGAATAGCATTGACATGAATGAATATGCATTGAATGAATGACATGCATGAATATGTATTGCCATGTGTAAAATAGATAGCTACAGGAAATAGCTGTATAGCACAAGGAGCCCAGCTCAGTGCTCTGTAATAACCTAGAGGAGTGGGATGCTGGGTGGTAGGGAGGGAGACTCACAAGGGAGGAGACATATGTGTACTTATAGCTGATTCATGTTGTTGTACAGAAGAAACTAACACAACATTGTAAAGCAATTATACTCCAGTTAGGAAATGTAAAAATTGTACTCCAATCAAAAAAAAAATTATACTAAAAAAAAAAACAAAACTAAAAGCTTGTATGGTAGGGACAATGCCACGAAGAAAAGTGAGAACCCAACTCACAGAATGGGATAAAATGCAAATCATATATCTGATAAGTGTCTAAAGTATCCAGAATGTATAAAGAATTCTTACAACTCAATAATGAAGGAGAGATAATTTGATTTAAAAATAAAATGGGCAAAAAAACTCAATTGACATTTCTCCAAAGTAGATATATAAATGGCCAATAAGCATATGAAAAGAGACTCAACATCACTAATCTTTAAGGAACTGCAAATCAAAAATACAATGAAATGCCAGTTTATACCCATTAGGGTGGCTATAATTAAAAAGACTGACAACAAGTGTTGGTGAGGATGTGGAGAAATTGGAACACTGCTGGTAGGAACATAAAATGAAGACATATTCACACAGAAACATGTTCTTGAATATTTAGAATACCCAAGAAGTAGAAATAACTCAGATATCCATCAACTGATGAATGGGTTAACAAAATGTAGTATAGTCATACAATAGAATATTATTCAATTATAAAAATTTTATCTCAATAAAGCTGTAAAGTAGAAAGGAAAATGAAATAGATTCCCAGATAACCAAAGATTAAGAGAATTTATTGCTGTCAACTTGCCATGTAAGAAGTATTAAAAGCTGTCCTTCACATTGAAAGGAAATGACACCAAATGAATGAATAATAACCACCTGTAGTGGTAGTTACATAGGTATATGTAAAAAGTGGTATAAATATGTATTTTTGTCTTTTGTTCACTTAACCTATTTAAAAGACAACTGCATAAGTCAATAGTTATAAAATTATGTGTTAGTTTTTGAATAACAGCATAATACACACGACAATAACAACACAGTGGAGGGAGAAAAGGAGAGAACTGTATTAGAGTAGCATTTCTACCTTCTACTGGAATTACTTAGTACTAATTTGATGTGGTGTGTCAGTTAAGATGTATTTTGTAATCTACACGGCAACCATTAAAAAAAAAAAAAAAAAAAAATAATTAAAATGCTATACTGGAGAGTATTTAATGCAGTAGAAGGCAGTAAAAGAACAAACAAAAAAGCAAAAAAGGTATGAAACCTATAAATCTAAACATATCAACAACTATATCAAATGTAACTGGACTGAACTTTCCTAGCAAAAGGCAGAGATTGTGAGATTCGATACAAAGCATGAGCTATCTATAGGAGATATACTTTGGATTCAAAGACACAAATAGGTTAAAAGACAAAGAATAGAAGAAAATATACCATGCAAGCAATAACCATATGAGATATAATAGCTGTACTAATATCAGACAAAATAGACTCTAAGACAAGTAATGTTCCAGTAGACAAATAAGAAAATTTTGTAGTAACAAAAGGGTCAGTTCATCAGGAAAATATAATAATTATAAACATATATTCCTAACAACAATGTCCCTAAATACATGAAGCAAAAACTGGTAGAATTTAAGAATGAAATAGACACTTCAACAATGATAGTTGAAGGCTTCAATACCCTACTCTCAATAATGGCTAGAACACCTAGACAAACAGCAAAAATATGGAAGATTCATGAAACATCATCAACCAACCTGACCTGACCTGATAAAAATGATGAATATAGATCCTTCACACTATACACAAAAATGGATCATAGACTAAAATGTGATAGTTAAAACTATCTAATTTACAGGAGAAATTTTTAATGATTTTGGGTTAGGCGAAGATTTCTTAGATACAATAGCCAAAGCAAAATCAACCTAAAAAAATAGATTTCATCCAAATACAAAATTTTTACACTTCAAAAGCCACCATTAAAAAACAGAAAAGACAAGCCACAGACTAGAGAAAATATTTACAAATCATGTATCTGATAAAGGGCTTATATCAGAATATATATAATGAACTCTTAAAACAGACAACTCAGTCTAAAAATGAATAAAAGATGTAAATAGACATTTCACCAGAGATGATATAGGGTTGTAATATAAGCACATGAAATGATTCTCATCTTCAGTAATCATTGAGGAGATGCAAATTTAAAACCATAATGAAACACCACTTCACTCAGCTGAAATGATTATAATAATTTAAAAAAAGACAATGACAAATGTAGGCCTGGCTGCAGAGAATTGGGATTCCTTCATACACTGATGGAAATTTAAAATGGTATAGCTACTTTGGACATTAGTTTGGCATTTTCTTAACAGGTTAAACATAAATATATAAATAGTCACTCAGTTGTATCCGACTCTTGTGACCCCATCGACTATAGCCCATCAGGCTCCTCTGGCCATGGGATTCTCCAGGCAAGAATACTGGAGTGTGTTGCCATTCCCTTCTCCAGGGAATCTTCCCAACCCAGATATCGAACTTGGGTTATCTGCATTGGCAGGCAGATTCTTGACTGTCTGAGCCCCCAAGGAAGCCCATACAAATAACATATGACTCATTTATTTCACTCCTAGGTATCTGTTGAAAGAATAGGTCCACACAGACTTGCACATGAATGTTCAAAGAAATATTATTCATAATAATCAAAAAGTAGGAACAACTCAAGTATCTGTTAACTGGGAAGTGGATGTGATATGTCCATCAATAAAATATTACTCAGTAAAATAAAACTACTAATACATGCCAGAGCACTGAACCAACCTCAGAATCACTATGCTTCATGGCAATGAAAATAATCAAAGAAGGAACGTTCATGGACTTACCATTGTAAAGCTGTCAGTTCTCAAATTGATCTGTAGATTTAACACAATTCCTATGGGCTTAATGCAAGGTTTTTTATGAATGAAGACAAACTTATTCTAGAATTTATGTGTAAACTTATATAGGCCCTTACAATAGCTAAAACAATCTTGCAAAAAAGAAGTATAGGAATTACTCTACCTAATATTGTAGCCAAAATAATCAAAGACTGGAGTTACTTGCAAAGGGATAAGCACATAGGTCAATGGAACAAAATTTAGAACCTAGAAATGAACAAGACAAGTATACACAAAAGTGTAAAAACAATTCAGTGGAGAAAGAAGGGATAGCCTTTCAACAAATGGTGCTGGAACAATCGGACATCGATAGGCCAAAGAAACAAACGCTTCAATCTGAACCTCACACATTATACAAAAATTAACTCAACCCTGTCTAAAGAAGGCAACCTAGGAACTTGTTTAGAAAACTGGGAATTTTTGAAGAAAGCATTAACCATTCTGTCTCTAGACTGCTGTTCTAATCTACAGATCCCGGACTTGAGTTGTCACATTTCCTGCTTCCAGCCAACCCTGCTCGCTTCAGACTGGCCCCCCATAATCGTAATTGGCAAGAGCCAATTCCTTAATACATATCTTGTTGCTCCTGTTTGTCCTGAATTCAGTGGTTTCTGTGTACTGGTAGACTCCTTGGTTTGTCTCAAGGCTGAAGTCAAGGGGAAATTCTCTCAGCACCAAGGACCTCTCTGTTCAGTCCTGAATGGATTTTTCCCTCCAATTGCAGGGCCTGTGCCTATACTTGTGCCACTAAATGTATAAAGGTATATAGTTATACCACCTCCAGATTCTCATTGTTGAATATATTGTGCAGTGTTAAATACATTGCACCCTTAAAGCCATGTGTCCATTTTAAAAATCTGAAAAAAGGACCGGCATATACTTGAGGTCAGTGTTTGGTGAATTTAATAAAATAAAAATGATCAGCACTTCTAGAAGTCTATCTTGAATGAATAATCAGAGATACAGATGAGATTTAAATATGTGAATATCTTCATAGTAATTTTATAATAAAAGAAAATGAATAGTATATTTCTAATATTATAAGAATATTTATATAAATTGATAAAACACATGAGGAACATGAAGTCATTTAAAATCATGTTTTTGACAAGTATTTAATGAATGAAAGGTTCTTATAATATTGAATGAAAAAAGCAAGATAGAATATTCTATATGTAGTATGAAAAAGAGAAAAAACTGAGATTTGAGATGCTAGGAAGAAAGAAGCCTAAACTTAACAGCAGTTATAAACATGAATGGTGCCTGTCTTCTCTACCATCTAGATGAAGTAACCAAAGGCAGAGATTCTTTTACTTTATTTCAGAACCTAGCTAGTATCTAGCCCATGGTAGGTTATACTTAGTTTATTAAGTGTCTGTGAAATGAGTAAATGAGCTTTTATCACTTAATAATGCTACTTTTATCTTCTAGATACATGGTTCAGTGGCCTGGCGGCCGAATCCTGCATCGCCATGAGCTAGACACCTTCCTGGCACAGGCAGTTTCTACTCAACTTTATGAACCAGATCAACTTCAAGAACTCAAGGTGATTTGAACTGTCCTCATTTATTTTATGAGCTCATAGCTCTATTTTAGATCTTTTTTTTCCTGCAGCTGGGAAGAAGAGTAAGTTCTGCAGGTAAATGTTTGATTTACTTTAGCCAAATATTTATGTCTATTAATAAACCCAACACTGCTTACATACTGATGGGTGAGAATGGGTAGAAAAAATGGTATTGTGTAAGACTGGTAAGTTGTGGCCCATAGATCACAGTAAGGTTTCCAACTCTTGCAGAAGATGCTACAGGGGACTTATCCTGGTGTTCCCTGTTTGTCTTTGAGTATAGGTCTACCTTCTCTCCCTGGTGGCTCAGTGGTAAAGAATTCACCTGCAGTGCAAGAGGTGCAGGGGACACAGGTTCGATCCTTGGGATGGGAAGTTCCTCTGGAGGAGGAAATGGCAACCCACTCCAGTATTCTTGCCTGGAGAATTCCATGGACAGAGGAGCCCATGGGCTACAGTCCATCAGGTCGCAAAGAGTCAGACACAACTGAGCACGCACACAATCTGATACTTGATTTACAATATTACATTAATTTCAGGTGTTAGCACAGTGATTTGGTATTTTTGAAGATTATATTACATTGTAGACTATTATAAGATAATGGATATAATTCCCTGTGCTACCTTCCTTTTTAAAAATAATACTTACTGAGTGTTAGAGGGAAGTCTAGACAAGCAAGAAGAAGCAAGTAAATCCAGCATAACTGAAGGCAATAGAATATAGTAGGTTAGAGAGTAGGCTCTGAAGCCAGGCTGCCTTGGCTTTGAATCTTAGCTCATTAGGTTGCTAACCTCCGTAGTTTCAGTTTCCTTACTTATAGTATTATAAGGATATTAAATAAAATAATCCATGCAAAACACTTAGAAGAATGCCTAGCATGTTCTAAGTATACAGTACTCAATTAGGTATTAATGCAGGATACTCCTCTTGTGACTTAAGTAGCTATGGTCCTTTGAGACCCTAGTATAAACTAGAAGAAAATCAAGTCTAGTAAGACTTAAAAATCTTGACATGAGATCAACTAAGGAAAGATGAAAACAGTCTTAGACAAACAGTGTTGGTTCCTTTCTACAGTAAATGTGATATTGCTTGGTACTAGAGCAGGTACTGACAACTCCACACCACACCTAGGAGGGGACCTGCATGTCTTAAAATTTTTTAGTAAATATTTTATCATATGGATGTATCATTTAATTATTCTTATTTTGGCCATTTGGTTTCCAGTTTTCACTTACTATATGTAATAATTAACATCTTTATATATTAGAGCCTTATTCACATCTCAACTTCCTTAGAATAGATTCCTTAAAGTAGAATCTCTGAGTCAACAAATGTGACCATTTTAAGGTTCATGATACATAAATACATACATATTTAATTTTAATATACATTGCTCATTAGTTTTATTTGAGTGTGCCATTTATTTCACCATATCCTCATCAGCATTGGATGTTCTTTTGATTTTTTGTCTTGTTTTAATTTTTTTTATTTGACAGGCAGAAAAATTGGTATCTCAAGTGGGTATCTTTTTAAGATTTGAAAGTTGATTTTTTTTTTTTTTGTAATGAGTATCTTCCAAACCATCTCAGGGATAGAAATGGATAGAGGCTGCTTATGTACTCAAATGTCCATATTGAAAAGTAACATGTTCTCATTTACCTGAAATAATCAGCAAAACAGGAATAAGAGCAAATGTAACCAATAACAGCAATTTCTTAATGGTAGTTTTTCCTCTGTGGTGGTTTCAGATTGAGAAACTGGATGCTCGAGGGATCCAGCTTGCTGCCCTCTTCATGAGCGGAGTTGATACAGCCCTGTTTGCCAATGATGCCTGTGGCCAGCCAGTTCCTTGGGAGCACTGCTGCCCCTGGATTTACTTCGATGGCAAGCTGTTCCAGAGCAAGCTAATTAAAGCAGGCCGGGAGAGAGTATCCCTAGTTGAGCTCTGCGATGGCCAGGTACCAGCATGTTGGGTAGCTACTAAGATCAACTGTCATCTGCTGTGAAAGTGAATGGCGGAAAAGGGTAAAGGAGCAGAGACACTGGGGAAGGAGGTAGCAGAAGTGGGAAAATGTGTCTGACCTTAACCTAACTTGGTCAAGGATGGTCCCAAAGGCCCAGGGTCTATGTACATGTTACAAAATCATGTTGGGAAGAGTTTTGGTGGTGGTTTTTTTTTTTTAATAATGGGCTTCAAGTTTTCATATTCCCTTTTTTTTGCTCTGAGTTATTTTTTCCCCATGGAATGAATGCTCAGATATACTATATGCCTTTCCCCTCATTCTTAGAATTTCATTTCGCTTACTTACAAAAACTAAGTCATTTTTTCAAATGATATTTTTTTGTAAAGAAACTAGTTTGGAAATAGAAGAGGGTAGTAAAATAGATGGCAGAGTAAAAGCAGGGGATACTTTTTGCAATAAAGCCTTGGGAAAGATGAAAGAAGGCAAGGGAAAGGAGCCCTTACTTTCTTCTTTGTCCGTTTGTGGGGAATAAGCTGAGAGATTAGAGAAGAGGCCAGCAAACTACAGAAAGATTTTTTTTTAATTTGAATTTTTATTCCAATAAAACTTTTTGAAACATGGCCACATTCATTCATTCACATATTGTCCATGACTGCTTTCATACTACAATGGAGAGTCAGGTAGTTGTGACAGAAACAGTATGGCCTACAAAACCTATCTGGCCCTTTTCAGAACAAGTTTGCTGACCTCTTGACTAGAGGCATGGACTTCTCCTGGATAGAGGTTGTGGTCTCTGATCCTGAGTATGAGAGAGAAGGTTAAAAGGGTTTGTATGTGTCAAGTTTTGTTCTCTCTTTACGTAATTCTGTTACCTCCCGCTTAAAAAATAACCTAGCCTATTGCTGGCTATGTGATTGGCCATTACTAAATACTCATTGTTGTATTTGTCTTTCTTGACCTAATCATGGTGCTTCATAAGCACTTGGTCAGAACTTAATATGATGGTAGTTTGACATCATGCAAAGAGTGGGAGCTTTGGTGTCAGGCAGGCTTCCCTGAGTATATTACCTTGAGCCATTTAACTCCAGGCCATGATTCTGTTCGTGGGAATAGACTTGTGAGTTTGTACATAGACCACCCAATACTGTGCCTGAAACATAGGAGAAGTTTTAAAAATTGCAGCTGCTATTATTACTCTGTTCCTCATTTGAAGACTGACCTGGCAACCAAAGTGGAGAAGATGAGACAGAGCATACTTGAAGGAGTCAACATGAACCATCCACCACCGCCTTCTCTACTTCCATCACCTACCTTTGTGCCTCCCATGGTGCCCTCTCTCTACCCTGTTTCACTTTACCCCCGAGCCATGGGCCCAGTGCCACCTCCCCCTCAAGGAAGGAGCCGGGGATTTGCAGGTCAGTACCTAAAAATAAGGTGTTTGTCAGTGTCAATCTATTTCATAATAACCCATCCAGTAATTATTGCCAGTTACGGAATCAGCAGTTTCATATATATCTTATCTCATTTACCATCTGTGCTGTAGTGTGGTTTGAAGAGTAGCTTATTGAAATGGAGGGGTGTATCCTGGGGAAGAAAGCCCAGTGACTTCCCAGACTACTCTCCATGAAAGTGATTAGTCCCTAAGGTTTTGAATTATGAAGTAACTGATGTAGAAACCAAGAGTCACATTTTACTTTTGAGAACTGCAGTTCATGTGAACTGGGTCTTCATGGTTGCTGGTTAGCTCACTCATTCCCCATAGACAGGTGTACACAGGAGCTTGCAGGAAGAGCAGTGGGAAGTCAGTAAATGACTAGTGTCAGCAAACAACCATAGCTTGATATACCCATTTCCACTCTGAGAGTAGATCTAACACATTTCCAGAAGCATAGAGAGAAATAAGTCACAATCTGTACCCTCTAGGGGATTGCGTTTTAGTGAGGAAAGCAAATACATACACACACATGTGGATCCACATATTCATATACTGGGTTAGCCAAAAAGTTCCTTCATTTTTAAAGTAAAAATAAAAGGGTCTTTCCATTTTCACCATGAACTTCATTGAACAAGGTATTTATTGTTTTGTTCCATTACCTTCTGCCATTTTTCAGGCAACTTCATAATTCCATCTTCCCAAAACTTTTTTTTTTTTTTTTTTGCAAAGAATAGTTCCAGGAGTCTTTGATAGTCTTCCAAGGAATTGAAATTTTTTCCATTAAGAAAATTTTGTAAAGACTAAGATAAATGGAAATCTGAAGGTGCGGTGTCTGGTGAATATGGTGGATGAATCAGAACTTCCCAGCCAAGCTGTAACAGTTGTTGCCTGATCATCAAAGAAACATATAGTCTTGCACTATCCTGATGGAAGATTTTGCATTTTCTGTTGACTAATTCTGGATGCTTTTTATTGGGTGCTGCTTTCAGTTGGTCTAATTGGGAGCAGTACTTGTTGGAATTAATTGTTTGGTTTCCCAGAAGGAGTTCATAATAGAAGACACCCTTCCAATCCCACCATATACACAACGTCACATTCTTCAGATGAAGACTGAACTTTGATGTGGTTGGTGGTGGTTCATTTCACTTACTGCATGATCTCTTCCATTCCACAGTATTGTCCAGTATCCACTTTTAATTATCCATCACAATGAAACATTTTCATTATGTTTAAGTAGAGAATCATAAGCAGAATTATAGTCAAGAAGGTTTTCCCTTAACTTACGTGGAACCCTAACATCAAAGCGATGAACATAACCAAGCTGGTGCAAATGATTTTCAACATTTGATTTAAATATTTTGAGTATATCGGCTATCTCTCACATGGTGTAACATTGACTGTTCTCAATTAATGTCTCCGTTTGATCCCAATCAACTTCAAGTGGTCCACCTGACTCTGGCACATTGTTCAGTGAGAAATCTCTAGTACAAAACTTCTTAAACCACTTCTGATGTGTTCGATCAGTCACAGCACTTTCTCCATACACTGCACAGGTCTTTTTTTTTTTTTTTTGCATTTCAGTTGTGTTTTTACCTTTCTTTTTTAAATAAATGCACGCTGATANTCTGATGTGTTCGATCAGTCACAGCACTTTCTCCATACACTGCACAGGTCTTTTTTTTTTTTTTTTGCATTTCAGTTGTGTTTTTACCTTTCTTTTTTAAATAAATGCACGCTGATATGACAGCTGTCACAATACAATCTAACAAAATTGTTTCAAATGAAGTTAAAGACAGCTAAGCACTACTAGAGCCATCTTACAGGAAAAAACAAACCTTTTGACCAACACAATATATACACACACATGTATGTATAAATTATGGTGATATCTGAACTGTGGCTTAATGACAAACAAACATTCTTGCTTAGGTAGGTCAGGTACTGATCCTGATAATTCAAACAACCTTTTTTCCTGGTGAAGCAGTATTTTAATGGGGACATTTTAACATGAAATGTCAAGATTCTGTGATTGGGTGAGAGTGGTATGGTTGAAGTGTTTGTTGTGTATTGCTCATCACTTTAAAAATAGTAAAGCTTGGAAGTCGAAATTTGTCTTAAATTAAGGGTCACAAAATTCAGCATGGATGTTTTAGTTCAAGGATGTGCCTAGGTGAGCAGTGTAAATGTCTGCTCAGTTAGTTCACTCAGGCAATGACTAGGTCTCACAAACCAGGGAGCCAACCCTTCATTCCATCCTTTGAACATGTTTTTACAGATGCCTGCTCTCATTCTTTACATGCTGATTTTATTGTGTCTCAGAAGATAGCTTTAATTAAGGCCAAGTTCTCAGAAGGTCCTCACCATTGTCCCAGCTCCCAGTGATAAAACCTAGTCTCCAATTACTGGTGGCCCCCAAATGCAAGTCTTTCTTGCCCTCTTAGGATTGGCTAGTCACCTAGTTCCTTAGACTCCCATTTTTATATAAATGAGGGGCTCTTTGCTAACAACCTGCTAAGTGAGTGAAGAGTTATTAATATTTGGGTTTTTTCCATAAAATAAAGTTAAAGGCTTACTAGCATTCTCTGTTTTATGAAAGCTTTCTTTTGTGCCAAATTGCAGACCTGTACTCTGTTTGTGAGTTCACACAGAGTTGGAATTTCCTGTTTTAAGATGATATCATGCTATCTTGTCTTTAATTGGTTCTGGTTTTCAACTGTTGCTATTCTTACTTTGTAATCATAAATCACTGTTAGTTTGTTGTTGTTGTTCAATCGCTAAGTTGTGTCCAGCTCTTTGCGACCCCATGAATTGCAGCACACCAGACTTCCCTGTCCTTCACTGTCCCCCAGAATTTGCTCAGACTCATGTCCATTGAGTCAGTGATGCCATCCAACCATCTCATTCTGTCTCCCCTTCTTCTGCCCTCAATCTTTCCCAGCATCAGGGTCTTTTCCAATGAGTTAGCTATTCGCATCAGGTGGCCAGAGTATTGGAGCTTCAGCATCAGTCTTTCCAATGAATATTCAGGACTGATTTCCTTTAGGATTAACTGGTTTGATCTCCTTGCTGTCCAAGAAGAGACCCTCAAGAGTCTTCTCCAGCACAATTCGAAAGCATCAATTCTTCATTAAACTGTTAGTTTAGTTTCATTATTTTTTGTTCTGTTTGGTTATTTGACTAATCCTCCAGTGTGTAGTGACATGCATTTGAATCAAAAGTAGTTTTGGTCTGTTACATGAGGATGTATAAATTCATGTATCAGTTCAGTTCAGTTCAGTTGCTCAGTCGTGTCCAACTGTTTGCCACCCCATGGACTGCAGCATGCCAAGCCTCTCTGTAAATCACCAACTCCCAGAGTTTACTCAAACTCATGTCCATTGAGTCAATGCTGCCATCCAACCATCTCATCCTCTGTCGCCCCTTCTCCTCCTGCCTTCAGTCTTTCCCAGCATCAGGGTCTTTTCAAATGAGTTGATTCTTTGCATCAGGTGGCCAAAGTATTGGAGTTTCAGCTTCAACATCAGTCCTTCTAATGAATATTCAGGACTGATTTCCTTTAAGATGAACTGGTTGGATCTCCTTGCGGTCTAAGGGACTCTCAAGAGTCTTCTCCAACACCACAGTTCAAAAGCATCAATTCTTCGGCGCTCAGCTTTCTTTATAGTCCAGCTCTCACATCCATACATGACTACTGGAAAAACCATAGCTTTGACTAGACGGACCTTTGTTGGCAAAGTAATGTCTTTGCTTTTTAATATCCTGTCTACATTGGTCATAACTTTTCTCCCAAGGAGTAAGCGTCTTTTAATTTCATGGCTGCAGTCACCATCTGCAGTGATTTGGGAGCCCCAAAAAATAAAGTATGTCACTGTTTCCACTGTTTCTCCATCTATTTGCCATGAAGTGATGGGACTGGATGCCATGATCTTTGTTTTCTGAATGTTGAGCTTTAAGACAACTTTTTCACTCTCCTCTTTCACTTTCATCAAGAAGCTCTTTAGTTCTTCTTCACTCTCTGCCATAAGGGTGGTGTCATCTGCATATCTGAGGTTGTTGATATTTCTCCCGGAAATACATGTGTACATGAAATAAATTCATTTCCTGCTTTAAAAAGGTAGTTTTGGCCTATAATTTTCCAATAGCTAGATCTTAAGACCTCATTCTCTCTCCACAAATATTGAATGCCTACAGTGTATAGGCTCTGTAGTTGAAAAATGAATCTGGCACACCCCACTTGCTAAAGTGGATGCATGTAGATTTTCAACCCCTTCTGAAATTTGCTTCCACCATGACCCTTTGTTGTTATCAGTCTTTTTATCATAGAGAAATGGAAAAATACATAGAGTAGGTGGGCTGTGGATCTTTCATTCCACCTCTTATCCTACCTTACACTTGCCATTCACTGCTGCCATTGTTCCTCTCTTTCTAGGACTCCATCCAATCCCACCCCAAGGAGGAAAACTGGAGATCGCTGGGATGGTTGTGGGCCAGTGGGCTGGCAGCAGATCCTCCAGGGGGCGAGGCTCCTTTGGCATGCAAGTGGTTTCTGTCGGTGGGCCAGGAAAGGGGTATGTATTTGAACAGGTTGGTATAAGCTAGTATCAATTAAGGTGCTCTTGGGAAAATGCCCAGCTGTTGAACTCTTTTATTAAGGTAAGCGGCATGAACTAACTTTGCATTTTTAAAGCCAGTTTTCAGTTGAGTTCAGTAAACATATAATAAATGCCCTGCCTTGAAACAGTTTTTGCCCTAGAGGAGGACTTGGGACATGGGACAATTCAGTATAATGTAGAAGTGACAGAGATTTACACTGGTAACACAGAGGAGAGGCATCTAACCTAAGAGGGTCAAACTTGCTAGTGGAGGTGAGTAGTTAATTAAGTGAAAATGGAAGTGTGGGCTTTATGTGTTCCTTATGATCACTTTCCCCCCCCCTTTCTAAAGGCATGGAAAAGAACAGACTGGTAGAGGAGCCAAAGGACACAAAAAAGGAAATAAACAAGTAAGTACCTTTTTGAGATGATCTACCTCTTCTTGTTTTTGTTTTTGTTTGCAAGAGATCAGATCCGGCATGGAAACCTGGGAGCTTTCATAGCTTCTCCCAGCATTTGATTTCATCTGCCTACTCTCTAGCAGTCTGTTGAGGGTTAACCTGCCCAGGCTGTTCCCACAGGGCTGCAGAGTGTTATCCTTTTCCCTGAGTGAGGCCACAAAATAGAAACCTGGTACTGTGTCCTAAAGACCTGCATTTAGCAAAGCATTACTACATGAACCATAAAGAGGCCAAAGTGAAATTAACAGTGGGATTCCAACAGCACACCTCAGTTTCTGTGGTGCTACCAGAGATGCTTAGAAAATTGGACTTTTGCCTTTACTGATGATGGAAAAGGAAGAGGCACTGCAATTCTGCTTATTCTTGATGGTTCAGAATGGTCTGAAACTCACTGGTCTTCAAATTCACTGGTCCCCCATCCCCTGTAAAGATCCAAAATCTTGTACTGGCTTCAGACTGCTGGGCTCCTCATAGCATAGTAACTATCATTTCTTAAGTGCCTGCTTTCTCCAAAGCCCTCTACTAGACATTTTACATGTGGTTTCTAATCCTCACAAAGGTCATTGATGAGACCATACTGCAAGGCAATTTTATCATCAGTCCTCAATTCCAGCTCAGCTCTCATATATACAGCCAGCCCTCATTGCATCCTTGTTACTCCCATTTTCTAATGTTTTCTCAAGGAATAAAAATTTGCTTTAGTGTTATTTTGAGTCCAACATGAAACTACAGTGATAAGTCCCCTACACAACGTATTTTGTAATGTACTCCAAAGCCGGAAAGCAGTGACTTTGGGTTTTTCCAAAGCTTCTCAGCTTTTTCCAGAAACTTCTCAGTAAGGGAAAAGGGATTGCACTGTTCAGGAAAACAGATCACTCAGGTAGCCTCCCATAAGGTAATACCCTATAAGATAGTCCTCTCATAAGGTTGGAGACAGGAATGGCAACCCACTCCAGTATTCTTGCCTGGAAAATCCCATGGACAGAGGAGCCTGGTGGGCTACAGTCCATAGGGTCACAAAGAGTCAAACACAACTGAACACACATACATATACATGAGGTAGTACAGCCTTGATGAATTCACCATGATTCAGGGACTGATCAGTAAACATGTATACAGCCTTAAAAACTTGATATCTAAAAAAAAAAAACTTGATATCTTTGGTACAATCATAGTGGATCCATCTTTCAGTGGTTGGCTCACATTAACCAACATCACAGAAATAGCTTTGTGGATATGGCTAAAGGAGTGGGGGAGGGGACGAGAAGGGAGAAGGTGAAAGGTAAAGTACTAATTTACAGTGGAAAGAAATAATTATCACAATATGTTGTATACTTTTCCCTAGTCCCTCTTATAAATACATGTGTTTATTATTTCCATTTTAAACAGGAGAAAACTGAGGCTCAGAAGAATGCAGCATCTTGCCCAAAATGACCATCAAGTTACTGTTAGAGTTGGCATTCCAGCTTGAGCTGACTGATTCCAAAACCCTGTACTATGCTAATTCTGATACAGTATAACAACTGTAATTGTTAGACAAGATTCAGACCTAGGCCTTGCCTGACTCTTGTATGCATGCTCACATGTCTAATCAGATCTTTATTTCTCTAAGAGCAAGCTGCCAAGGAGGCCATGGTATCAGAAGTTTGCCTGAGGCTGTGGAATCAGAACAGTAATATTAGCTAGCAATTATTGAGTTCTTACAGCATGCCGGACACCACCATGCTTTACATGGTGTGTGTCATTGAATCCTTATATGAACCTATGAAATAGATAATATTATTCTCTATGGTTTATGGATACTATTTGATATCTAGTTAATATATACTATTCAGTTCAGTCACTCAGTTGTGTCAGACTCTGCGACCCCATGGACTGCAGCATGCCAGGCTTCCCTGTGCATTACCAACTCCTGGAGCTTACTCAAACTCATGTCCATTGAGTCAGTGATACCATCCAACCATCTCATCCTCTGTCATATACTGTTATTCTCTTCTAGATGGGGAAACTAGGGGGGGGAAAGGGATAATAGATGATCTTAAATTCCTCTTAGCTAAGATTTCTTGGGGTACTGTTATCTACTCTAGAGATAGCCTGGCCAAGGAAATCCTTACATTGACTTTGTTTGTAGCTAAGGCATCTTCCCATCTGAGATAATTAATTGTTCCAGTTTATTAAATCTCCATTACAGTCCTATCTTCATGAGATTATTCCTAGGTCAGTGGAGTTTTGTGTATTCTCAAATTCTTCAGTCCTTTATTTGTTACATTTTTATTTCTTTGTTGACTCATATGGCGAATTCCTTCCATTACTAGTTTCATCTTATTTTCAGGTTCTTGAGAAGCACTTCACAGTAACCTCTATGTTGTATAGGTATTGGAGACAAATGACCTAGCTTTGAATCTGGCAGTGCCACTTACCAGTTTTGTAACTTTGGGCAAGTTACTTACCCTCTCTCTGCCCTAGTTCCCTCATCTATAAAAATGGAAGAATTGGCATCTACCTCAGTATTATTCTGAGTGTTAAATGAGATAATACATGTGAAGTATTTAACATAGAACCTGGTACATGGGAAGTGCTCAACAAAATTAGTAGTTATTATCTATAATGACCACATATTCAGTGGGCATTAGATTTCCATTATGTATTGCGTCAGTGGAAAGAACAATGTCTTTGGGATCAAACAGACTTGGATGCAAGTCTGAGCTTGTCAGTGACCTTGAGCAAGTCATTTTACTTTTTTGAGCCTCATTTGTCTTTCTTACCTGTGAAACCAGCATCAGAATACCTGGCATGCCCAACCACTTAATAATCAGAAACTCTTATTATTCCTAATAATACTCACTGGGAGCCAGTACTGCACTTCAAGGTCATGCAGTTCATGACAATAACATTTCAGGAGCAGTTACCATTGCTGAAATTAAAACCAAGTGATTGTTTTTAGTTATGAAAGATTCTGTGAAATATTGCACATAGATCTTATCATTTGTTTTCTTTTCCTTTTATTTACAAACCCAGCTGTCAATATTGGACAGCGTTGCATGGAAGTTAAGAGAATAAACTTGAGAGGCTGACTGACCTGGAGTGGAATCCTGGCCCCACTACTTTCTACTTGTATCTCCTTGAGCAAGTTACTTTAATCTTTTTGAGCCTCAGCTTCCTCATCTGTAAATGGGATGTCATAATATCTACCATATCAGGTCCCTTTTGGCATTTGAAAAAATACATTGTAAAACTTGGTAAATAGTAGCTGGGCCATTATTGTGTTGTTGTCATTGCCATTAGATTCGAGTTAGATCCTTTTGTTGTCACCCTAAGTTCTCCAGACAGTGTCAGAGTGTACTAGGTGCTAACAAACATTGGGCTTTCTGGTGTTTTTGAAGAACTGAAGCAGTTTCCACAGGCTAGCTTATCAACATGCTTGGGAAGGATCAGCCAATTTTGGGATTACCATTCCTACTGACTATCTCTGTTTTTGACAGAGCTTTTCAGATGGAGTTTCTAAATCCCTGGAGCCTCAACAAGGTCGGTCTCGCTCACAGGTAGATGGAAACAGTGGCACATTGATCAAGGAAGAGAAGAATGATCATCTTCCACCTCCATCACAGTGTGCCTTATCCAGAGACAGCAGTGTGTGTAATAACGGTAACCGGTACTTCCCCGGGAAGAATGGCGAGAAGAGCCGCTTACAAGAGCAAAAGCTAGGAACTGTGACACATCAGAAAGAGGAGTAACAAGCAAGAAGATGGCTTCAGCAGATCAGGAAGAGGGGAAAACCTATACTTCTCTGATTTTAGGCCTAAGTTAGAGGAAGACATGACATGCTTACCCTAGTTTTGTTCAGGATTTTGATGGGGGTGTTCTTTTGTATCCATCTTTTCCCCTTCCCTGTCTTTTTCTGGGCTTCCAGACTCAGCAGTCTGTTTCTAGAGAAGCTCTGATCAAATATGAATGGCAACAAGACTAGTTCCTATTCTCAAATTGAATATATAGTGCCAATATTCTCTTTACCTCCCCTGGGAGGCCATTAAGGCACAGACTATTGGGTATCATCACGTAAGGACCTACAGAAAAGGTCTAGCTTTGGTTTTCTGAGTCTTTATTATGATGTTCATTTACAAAACCCATGGGATGGTGGATACAGCTACCTATGGCTTCCTAACTTGGTTTTTTCTTTATGAACTGGTAGGGCCTTCGTATATAATCAGTATCCACATCCTTCTAACTCTTTTCCCCACTCACCTATGCCAGGGATTTATACTACCGCCTCTAGCTCTGGCCTGACAATCAGATAGGTAGATGTTTTCAGGGAAGTGAGGTAGTATTGGTTATTTTATTTTTTTTATTCTTTTTTTAATTTTATACACTTAAAATAACTACCAATGGCCTTTGTACTGGGGGATTCAAGTGAGTCGAAAAAGTACTAGGCAGATTTTTCCTGCCTCTGAACTAAAGCATTATTTGTAAAATAGAAGATGTGGTGCAGTTCACCCACTCCCTGCTTCCCACTCCCTGCAAGGGTGGGAATCAATGTAATGAAGTGATGTTCTAAAGGGAACTCAAAAGACTGTGTGTGTGTATGTGTGTGTGTGTGTCTGTGTCTGTGTGTGTGTGTGTGTGTCTGTGTGTGTGTGTGTCTGTGTACGGATGTTTGGGTGGATGTATATATGAATGTGTGTGTCTATATGCATACACATACCCTTTATATAAAGAGACAGATCTATTTATCTATACATATTTTATATATATATATTAATATATGTGTATGTATGTATATATAAATATATATATGTTGTATATATATATTTATATACATGCACACACATACATGATGATGTCCCAGAAGATTTACTGAATTTCCCAGAAATGCTTCCACTGCTATGGAGTGGTGGGTTTCAGAAGACCACATTTTAAAAATCCTTACTAAGTCATAGCCCATCACAATTACGAGAAGATGGGCTTCTCTAAGCAGACAAAAAGTACTTTCCAGAGATTGCCTGTTCAGAACAACAAACAGTTGGGTTGTCACAAGCTTAATCTTGATCAGAGTCCTCACATCCCCTATCATAAAAACAGGAGGTTGGAGTAGGATTGGGAAGAGTTGGGCATTTTCTTATGAAGGAGCAGCCTGGTTGGGAAAGAGAAAGAGGATGGAAGGTAATTACCAGGGCTTGTAGCCAGTTTGGGGAAATCTCATCTGAAACTCTAGGATCAAACTGGCCTTAGGCTAGAATTGATTGCCATGAATCCCTGAAGGAGAGCAGGTAGAAAGTGTGAGGAAACCGACAATTTGATTTTACATGCCTAGATTGTTTCATTTATTCATTGACATTTTGACTACTGGATCTTTTCATTTGCTTTGCAAGGAAGACTTCAGAGGACTCTGGCCTGGGCCAACAGGGGTATTCTATGAAAAGTTCCCAGCCCCCAAGTAAGATCAGAATCTGCCCAGGACAAAGAATCTGTTCCTCTTTGCCAGAGATACTCTTGAAACAGCCTTGCACTTCCAGTTTCCCTCCTCAGCAGCCTAAGTATGAGGGACGGGAACAAGGCTTGCAACAGATTAGCATGTGTCTTCATTCAGGAATTGAGGCTTCTAGCCTCATACACCTCCTTTTTGGGCTTTATAATATTCTTGCCCAAGAAGTACCATTTCTACAGGAACACAACTGACTAGACTTCTAGCAGGGTCCTCTCTCTTTTTAAAAAACCTCACACACCTTAACCCAGAGCAGGTCCTTGGTGACATTTTTCCAGACAACCAGAAAGCTGTTTGCTTACTGCCCGCTTACAATGAGTGTATCATCATGAAAGATTGAAGATGCCTCAGACTGTTTTATCCTAGTCTGGCCCAGTTTAAGAGAACCCACAGTTTGCAGAGGTGGGGAGGTCTAGAATGCCTCTTCCCTTACCCAGATACTTCTTACATAAACCAGAGCAGGATGACAAGAATGCACACCCAGGCAAATGTAACCAATAATAAAGTGTACAAAAGCTTCCTCTATGGAATTGGCTCCCGTAGTTTTCCCCGCTCTTCTCCTAGCTGCCCAATCTTTTACAACGTCTTGACGGCTAGGACTTCTGTGTCCAGCAAGAGAAGGATTTAGTAGCGAACTTACATGACTTGGAAATTTTTTTCTGGAACCACAGAGGGAGGAATCCTTTGGAGCTCTAAAAGTAACCAGAATCATCGAGCTGTGTTAACTAGCTAGCTAGCTCCATTTTCTATTAGGAAGTACTTGGAGTTATATGGAAATGTATTTTCTTCAGTTGCAGTTTCTGTGAATCTTGAGTCTATTTGAAATGATCAAATGACAGTATTGTTAACTCTCACAGCATTAAGAAGATTTATTATTTAGTAGGCATTCACTGTGAGAAGTAAAACTACTGTTTGACAGGGATGATTCCAGTTTGCCAAAAGGCTTGCTTTTCTCCCTTCCACACACCTCTACTTTATCCTAGCCTGGCCCAGGATGAAACAAGTGACTCACTTACAACTTTGATTTTTATTTAGTTTCAGAATTTTGGATTTGTAAGGTTACAAGAAAGAACTATAAAGGGTCATAGTCCTATATTTTATCTGCCAAGACATATAATTTAGAAGTCAGAAAGACTAAGGTTTATCACTGGAAGATTAACTTTTTCTAGTTTCAAGATCAACTTTTTCTAATTTCTTTCAAATTCAGGAACTGAGTCTGCTCTTTGTTGTGAGTACCACTTGAAGAGACTGTCATCCTTCATTTGAGGTTCAACTTCTGACTATGATGTGGCCTTTCTTGAACAAAGTCATACATCATTTAGGAACCCCCAAAAATGACCCCTTTACTTTGTAGGGCCATAAGCAAAAGCACTCTGGATATATACAGCCACAGATCCTCAAGGACTTGCAGTTCTTGATTTCTGCTGGTGTATCTTGGGGTCAGCCTATAACTCCCACCTTTATTCAGTGGCCAGTCTAGTCTGGACCAGGCCTGATAAACTTCTGCTCACTTGTACCATTTTCATTCTAAGCCAGTAGGACTTTGGGTATACTTTAAAACCCAAGAAATGGCACTTGCTTTGGCTAGTGACATTTGATTTTTGTCTGCATCTTGATTTCCTGGCATCGTTGGCCAAGTCACATTAACTTGTTTTAATCACTGAGAAAAACAGTCGTGTAAGGCATTAGAGAAGGTGGTTAAGAAGGGGCGTGGGGAATGAATGTTTATGTAGGGTAGAAAGAATGTGGAATTAACTGCTTGGCTATAGAGATCCAGTCCACTGGAACCTTAGAAGGCTTCTGTAAGCATGTCAGTGCTACCCTTTCAACCTTTAAGACTCCCCACCCCACATCAAAATGACAATACAAGTAGACCACAGTTTAAAATAGCTAGTTAATTCTACTAAGGTTTAATCATTCTACTTGTTCAGTTCCTAATGCATATTTCCCAAATACGCTTGGGGTTTTGGGGGGTAAGTTCCCACTGTTCTATTGTGTGTCACCCTATATTTTTCTCTCTCGTGACTTTGGCACCTTCTTTTATTTGACTTTCCATTTGCTTTTCCCTTAGCTTATTGCTATAGTCTGCTGGTGCAGGTAGGCTCAGTGTACCTATTCCCCTATTACTGCTAATTATCTTCAGGATTGTCAGAGGTTATTTTGCTGTTCTAAGAAAAGAACTTCATATTTTTTTTACAAAACATTTTTTCCAAGGTAAAAGCAAAATAAAATACCCCCTGTGCTAGGGTGTCCACTGCAGCTTTTGACATTGCCCTTGTACTTTTTTATAGATGCTCTCTTTGTCCGTGTTGGTAGTAACTGATGACTAGTGGATTTTCATGTAAATGAAACAAATTACACATTTCACTTTTTATTAATCTTTCATAACCCTGCCAAAGCTGATGACTTAATTTTAGTTACTTCCCAGAAGACACTTCCTCATCCACCTTTTATTTTATTCTATTCTATTTCTAGAATAACATACTAGGTAAAGAAACTTTAACTACAAGGATTCATTGATTTTTAGTGCTCCATGAAATAAATGATGTTATTGACAAAAGTAAAATCTTTCATTGTTTTTTCCTGTGTTAATATCTCTTCTCCTGTGCTCTTGACAGTGTGTTTAGTGGATGGATAATATGTATTTCTCTTCCAAATTCCCTGCCTTTTTTGGCCCACCTCACCACAAAAGCTCCATAGTTTATTAATGTAAGTTTGAATGGATGCTTCTTAGGGGAAACTGCAGGAGTTAAGGAAAGTGTTTCAGAAAGGAATGAAAATGTCTCAGGAGTTGTTCTGTGATGGAAATTGGTCTGGTGTTCTGTTAATGCTGATGGAAAGAAACTTACAGTGCTTAATAAAAGTCTATTCTTTTAGTTAAAAAATGTGAAATAATTTTGGGTGTGTGAAGTTTAATTTCTTCTCCCATTTCTGGACTTTTTTCTGTAAATGGAGGATATACTTGTCTCAATTCAGAAGTGTTACACAGAGACTTAAGAATCTGTTTGTAGTTGAACATTATGGCAAGAGAGCCAGTACAAGAATCATTAAAAGGAAGGGCATATATAGTTTCCTGCTGAACTTCTTTATTTGGATGTTCTAAAGGCACCTTTGACTTCACATTTCCCAAACTAAGCCTATCTTCTCTTCCACAGCCTGCTTCTCTCCATGAGTGACACTACCTTCTACACAATTGTCTATACCACAAACCAACCTGGGAGTTATCCTTGATGCATGCCTTTCCCTCATTTCTCAAGTCCAGTTTGTGACAAGATCTGTTGGTAACACTCAACCATCTTTCTTTTTCTCACAGCTGTCTCTTTCATCTCCCCACTTGCTGTTGCTTAATTCAGGCCTCCTTATGTCTCACCTGAATTGTTGTAGTTGCTCCTCTGCCTTATTCCTAACCAGGCAACTGTGAGCAAATTTTGTGTCTACGTGTATGTACCTTTTCCCAGTGAAAGAGTGCATACCTTTTTCAGTTGCTTTAAGAAGTCTTAAGAAGTTAAGAACAACTGCTTTAATACATCACGCTTATCAGCTTCCAGAGAAATCTGTCCGAACATGCTACATGCCTGCTTCCATGGTGCCTTCATGATCTGGCAGCCTCATTTCCTGCCACCCCAACTTACTCTAGCTACACTAAAGCGCATTCTACACATTACACTGTTAATATCCATTTCTTCTCATTTGCTTATATCATTTCCTAGAATCCCTCTCTCTTCTTATCTCTGGTACAGTGTCAACTTTTCCCTCCAGATTCAGCTCATGTCTTTTTGGTTCTTTTCCTGATCCCTTACTGGGGATCCCTGTACAGACTCACCACAGCCAGTCCCTATAGCACTTCACTGCATCTCTGCCACTAGACTAAACTTGAACAACTTTGTTTTGGCATCTGCCACCATGCATGCACTTAGAAATGTTTGATGACTAAATTAAGGACAGCTAAAACATGTTTGAAAATGTTCTATGGTGCAAAACAGATTGTAGATTTTTGAGGCAGAGGATGTGTTGGTGGCAAAATGCCGAAAGATTGAATATGAAGGTTCATCACTGAATGCTATTCATTTAAGTGTGCTTTTATTTTTTTTTTCATTTATTTTTATTAGTTGGAGGCTAATTACTTTACAGTATTGTAGTGGGTTTTGTCATACATTGACATGAATCAAGTGTGCTTTTAAATGGGGCTCTTAAAAAAAAAGAAAAAAACAGAGTCCTGACTTCCCTGGTGGTTCAGTGGTAAAGAATCTACCAGTCAATGCAGGACATAGATTCCATCCCTGATCCAGGAAGATCCCACATGCTACAGAGCAACTAAGCTCATGCGCCTGTGCTCTAGAGCCTGGGAGCCGCAACTACTGAAGCTCATGTACCCTAGAGCCAGTACTCCACAACAACAAGAGAGACCACCGCAATGAGAAGCCTGCACACCTCAACTAGAGAGTAGCCCCTGCTCAACCGCAACTAGAGAAAAGCTTGCACAGCAGTGAAGACCCAGCACAGCCAAAAATAAAAATAAAATTTAAAAGAGAGTTAAAAAAATTTTTAAAAAGAGTTCTGAGTCATCTATGAGCAATAGACTGATGCTTAAAGCAGAATCTGAAGCCAGGACTCTAGAGTAGATTCTTACCTTACTGCTTCTGCTGAGTATTGCTAGCTAGGCTTGACCTCTGTGACTGCTCTGTGCCCTGAGTGTACAGGTTGCAGAAGGAAATAGCTGAGCCTAAAGGCAAGCATTAGAGGTTACTGAAGTTTGTAAACACTTTCCCTTAAATGAAAACTCATTTGTAAAACTTTGTTTTAAAGTTGGTTCATTATGACTATAGATGTTTTTTCCTAACCTTTGCTCTCTAGGTGTTGGGTCTCAGAATTTGATAGTGGGAGCCTTGATAATCTGTTCATCTTTTAAACCTTGCTAATAAAGATGAATAAATGTTCACATGGACATCAACCAATCTAATCAGATGGACCAAAGAGGTCACTTTTCAGAACCTATTTTCATATCTAAACTGAGTCACTGCAGACTAATACAGGGCTCACCCTTTTCCAAAAAAAACCCCTACTATCTCTGCAATACTTTTAGGGTTTGACATCATTGGGAAGGCACAGTGCAATTTAAGACATAGATTGTTACATCTATCATGGCTGGAAGAGTACTTATTCATATAGTGATACATGTGCATTTCCTTTTTCACTAGTTTCATATTCCTAGGCTTTCCTTTTGTTTTTGTGGTGCTTATAAGGAAAACAGGCAGAATCTGATAAGAAAGTTGTAGTCAGTTGAAGAGACTTTAAAATCAGTAAGTTTCTTGCTGTCATAGGATGAGCAAATGAGGGATCAACTGCAGAAACTGGGCATTCAAAATACCTCTCCTAAAAACCAGTCCCACAATCCTATTTTGGCAGAGTATGTGAAGAGGAGACCCAATTTCTAAATGAAGAAACTTTGCCTTTTCTCTCTCATGTTGAAAAGCTGACATACAATGTAGGTGATACTCTGTCCCTTAACTGTGCCTTTTTTTGACTTTGTATATGTTGAAAGAGATAATATCTTTTGAGGAACATGTGTCAAGCAGGAACCTTGACATGGATTTGGTTTCAGTTGTTTTAAGGCTTAATGAAATGCCTTTATTAGTTTTCCAAACTTTTTTATGTATGAATACAACAGACTGAGGAGCTGGATCTTCTGCTATACTCACGTGCCTAAAGCTATCATTACTGTCTTGGACAAAGTGGCAAAAGATAACATAAAATCTTTGTTGTGAATTAGTCAGTAGGGTCTGACACACGCTAACAAGGTTCCTGACTAGTGCCTCAGTTTTTCAGCACCTTAAGCATGATAAGGGCTTCCCTGGTGGCTCAGACAGTAAAGCATCTGCCTGTAATACAGGAGACCCAGGTTCGATCCCTGGGTCGGGAAGATCCCCTGGAGAAGGAAATGGCAACCCACTCCAGTACTCTTGCCTGGAAAATTCCATGGACGAAGAAGCCTGGTAGGCTACAGTCCATGGAATCTCAAAGAGTCAGACATGACTGAGCAACTTCACTTCACTTCACTTCAAGCATGATAAAATTTAGTCAACAATAAAGTGAGTGTTTCAACTAGAAAAAAGAATTTGATAGTGGGAAATCTTTACATTTGGCCTTTAAAAGTTACTGTTAACTGAGGACCTATTAGGTACCAAGCATAGTACTAGGCTTCTCAGGTGATGCTAGTGGTAAAGAACATGCCTGCCAACGTAGGAGACATAAGAGACGTGGATTCAATCCCTGGGTTGGAAAGATCCCCTGGAGGAGGGCATGGCAACCCACTCCAGTATTCTTGCCTGGTGAATCCTATGGACAGAAGATCCTGGCGGGCTACAGTCCATGGGGTTGCAGAGTCAGATACTACTAAAGTGACTTAGCACAGTACTGAGAGTAAACTTTGGCAGGTTGATAAGAAGTCCAAGCCTAAGACCCCTTTATGGAGGAAGTAAGCATTCTTTTTCACATTCTTTTGCTGTAGAAAAGTAGGCCTCATAGGCAGCAGTATCTCTTGTTCAAGGACATGTCTCTTTTTGAGCTTTGGATGTATGTTATGGGGGAAAGTCTGGATAAAAACTTCCACAGCCTTGAGCTCTGGGTTAACCTGTTCCTTCTGACTAATGTGCTGATGTCATCCCAGGATGTTTGTTACAGGAAAGGATCAGCAAAGTTCTCACAGCCTTGAGGTATTTTTTATCTATTCTCAGCAGCTAGTTGAGATGTATATAAAGCCCTACTTAAATTAGTGAGGTGGGTGCTCTTCTGCCCCCTTCTGATATCTATGTCAGAAGCTTTTTCTGTCACTTTCACTTTAAATAAAATCTATACAAAGCTCTGAGTGACTGAGACTGTCTTTGGTCCCGGAGTTAAATCTCCTTCAGAGACCATGAATCCCACGGCCCTGTTCACCATTTACCGCTAAGCTATCATTTGGGTGCTCGTCCAGGATCTTCAAGACAAGGTAAGGACACTTGGAGCTCTAGTTTTTTTGTTCTCCTAGTAAACACGTTTTCTGCTTTGTTAACTCTACAGTGTGCCTGTGCAAGTGATTGACTGAAAGCCAGAAATGCACAAAACAAGTGCGAAGCGAGAGTAGAGCCCAGTTTGTGTTTCTGTGGCACCTCATAACGACTGAGGGCAGCCCCAAAGGGGAGCCTGTCGAGGATTTATACTGACCTGGCGATACCAAGAGGCAGCCAACATCCCCGTGAGGGGAGCGGCCAGGAATGGATGAAGTGTATGGACCAAACTTTGTTTTCTCAGTCACCTTTTCCTGGTCTTTTTGACCATTTTATAACTGCCTGGAGAACTGAAACTACTAACCTAATCTGTCAAATCATAGACTTTCAAGGGACTTGCCATCCATTCTGTTACTGTATACTGTTACTTAGACCTCAAATTTGGATTGACAGTCACAAAGCACCTAGTCTTGCTAGAAGCCAAAAGTTACACCTGGGTTGTCTTTTCATGCACTGCAGACAGGAGCACAATTGGGAGCTGGTTGGAGCTCTGACTCCAGGAACATCTCTTAGGTTAGAGATTGTTCCCTTAGCCGCCTGCCTCGGGCCAACACCCTGAAAATGAATCCTTGTCACAGCTGTGCATCTGGTCTATATGGATGGAGGCACTGCTGGCAACTGTGAGATTTCTGAGGACACAGATTGGGAATTCCAGGATCTGATCAGATTGGAAGTGCAATGGGCTTCATTTGGTAAGGCTGGCTCTTAGCGGGCCAGAGGAGGTTCTCCAGTGGCTTTTGTCTCAACTCCTTAGATATTCTTTCTGTGTAATCTGTGGAAATGAACTGGAAGGACTGGCCCTAATAGCTCAACAAAAATCACTTTTTCCTCACTGGCTGGCCCTTT